GACTTCTCTACCGAAAGGTTGTCCTTAAAAGTTCTGGTTCTTTTGTTGGGTGGGGGAGGGAGAGGATTTTACTTTGCCTTCAGAAGATGGTAAAAGTATTTTCAGTTTGGAAGCCTCTGACCTCAACCCGATATTTTTCTCTTTTCTCCCTTTCTTGATTCTGTGGATTTAAATGATTGGGCCTTTTTGACCAAGGTTGTATGTAGCCTGCACTGACTTCTACACAATTCTTACATGTAGGGAAGGGTTTTGGCTGTTTTCTTCCAACAACTGCATAGTTGGGTGGTTGTGACAGAGCTAAAATGTTTATTTTCTGATCCTGGAAGAAAATTTTTACTTGACCATGGGAGGCACTGTAAATACAAAGTAGATAGATAAGATGCCGAAGAAATTGATCCACCTATGCCTGGCTAATTGTTAAATGTCCAGTTGGGTATAGGGCAGAAATATGTTTGGCTCATATTGTGAAATTGAGAAGGTAATCCAGCAAGTGATATTAGTAACTCATAATGGTTAAAATGCTCAATACAGAGGGCCATGGGATTGTTTGGTCATGGGATTGTTAATGTTGTTTTTTAAATTCATAAACTTCAAACTGTTTAAAGCTGTTCTAATCAAGTTATTTGTTTCAGGGTAGTAGTTAGTGTTCAAGAATTGTTTCAATGAACCTGATTTGTTTTTAGCAACTGTATTCATTATAAGCATATTTGGGACTGTTGTGAAATACTTTTCCTATTTCTCCTTGCAGGGGATATGAAAGGTGAGGTGTATCCATTTGGCATAGTTGGGATGGCCAACAAAGGGGATTGCCTGCAGAAAGGGGAGAGTGTCAAGTTCCAGTTGTGTGTTCTGGGCCAGAATGCACAGACTATGGCCTACAACATCACACCCCTGCGTAGGGCCACAGTGGAGTGTGTGAAAGATCAGGTAAGTGGCAGTATCTTTGGATCAAAACTTGATCATTTCACGAGTCAACGGATTGTCATTTATTAATTTTTCCAAGTAATCACAACACATGAATTTTTCAGTCGAGAGAACTATCAACATGTGTTTGGATTTTACTTTTACTTATTTAATACCTTGTGATCACTTGTTTTATAAAGACAGCAAGGGGGGATGACAATATTGACAAAGAGGAAATAAAGGTTGTTGGCATTACACGATATATTGAGTACAGTCTCATATAAAGCTGTCAAAATGAAAATGAAAATTTCAAAGAGGTATGTGCTGCAGATTTGCCCAATGTAATTAATGTAATTAATAACATCTGGCTTCCTGACTGCTCCTTCTGTGAGTTGATTGTGCATCTAAACAAAATAAAATCCTCCACAACTCCCCACAAAATAATGTTGATACTACAAGGTATGTAGTGCTTTAGCCCAGAATTCCTTTGCACATGACACCAAGGAACCACATTTAGACGTGCTCAAAAAATAAGCTTATTAGATGCAAAACTATCCCTGGTACTGTGACATACAGGGAATTTCTCTTCAAGCGCTCAGGACCTTTTCCAGCATCGATACAGTGAATAAAACATTTTGTATGGCTATTGCTTATAATATTAAAACCCAGTTTAATAATTCTCATGGGAAGTTTTGCAGCCCCATAAGCTGTTACCACGTGAGAAGTATCACCATAAACTGCCATAGGCAGCTGAGCTGGTATAGCAGCATTAATTCCACATTTTATAAATCTTCTAGTTAGTCAAGCATTGTGCTTCATTCAGAGTGAAGTGTTTTCTAAACCCTCTGCTGTATGTCCTTTCTTAGCTACTTTATTTTTCTTTACAGTTTGGCTTCATTAACTATGAAGTAGGAGACAGCAAGAAGCTCTTTTTCCACGTGAAGGAAGTTCAGGATGGCATTGAGCTACAGGCAGGAGATGAAGTGGAGTTCTCGGTGATCCTTAATCAGCGCACTGGCAAATGCAGTGCCTGCAATGTTTGGCGTGTCTGGTAAGTTTTACTTTTGTTGGACTGGCTCTTTGCACATCTGGAGTGTGTGCTCTGCTTTATCACATGTCTTAAAGAGTGGTGTTGGTGTTTTGCTTGCTGCTGTTTCCCCTTCACTCTTTGGTTATTTCTTGATACTTCCTAGGTTTTTCTTATTGGTAGCCTTTTTTTAATTTGGGAGCTCTTACAGATATCATAACCTTCCATAGTTCAGTCACCCCAAGCAGTATTGTATAATTGATACCACAGTTCAAAACATTTTCTTCTTGAACTACTTGGTAACAGCTCCCTTTTTTCTCCCCGCAAAGTTGACTTCTTTATCTAGCCATCAATATTAAAAATTTGTCCCCGTGAAGCATTATTTTGGGTACTTGCTATATGTGAGATTCTTTTAAAAACAGTATTCTATAGTCTTGTGTTTCTAAAAATTTAAACAGTTTAACAGTCCTTGCTTATACTTAAAAAAAATCTCTAAAATTGCTACTATTACAAGAGATGGGAGTCCCTGGAAACATTTCTTCGTATTTAACATTTTAAAGGATTTTCCCATCCACTGCCTTGGTTTTTTTATCTGTGGAACTGTACTCTTAACTAGTGTAGAGATGACCCTTGCCCAAGTGATTCTTACAACTCGTAATAAATTTTTGAGTTGAAAGAGAAGGGGGAGAAAAAACTTGCCTGTCCTGTCCTGCTAGCTGCCTAGATTGAGGTGGCAAGAGTCCTCTCATTAAAAGTGACTCATTTGAGTAGTTAGGTAGAAAACACTAGTAGCTGATTTCTTCCCAAGTGTTGTTGCTGCTCACCTCTTCATTATATTGCAGTGAAGGCCCCAAAGCTGTTGCCGCCCCAAGACCTGACCGGTTGGTCAATCGTTTGAAGAGCATTACCCTGGATGATGCTAGTGCTCCTCGCCTCATGGTTCTTCGTCAGCCAAGGGGACCAGATAACTCAATGGTATGAGACCATACCAGCCTTCAGAAGGCCAACTGACAGACCAGCAGATTGCTGGGGTCTTATTTCAGTAGAGATCTGAGAAAATGAAGCAAACAATTTCAGTAGTGCTTTTGTACATAATGGTTGCTCATATTTCTAGCTATTCTGGATACTTTGAACATAGTTTAGGTAATGAGCTCACAGTTTTCAAGCCTCTGCTGACTCCTTCAGACTCTAAACAGCATAGAATTGCCCCTGTGAGTTTCTGAAACTGGTAACTCTTTATGGGAGTAGAAAGCACTGTTGTCTTTTGAAGAGCGACCAATGGATTCAAACTGTTAACCTTGTGATTACTACATCTTCTCATTTAAGAAAAATGTAGCAGTCGTTACCAAACCCATTACCATCAAGCCAATTCCGACTCACACAGAGACTCTAGGGGACAGGTAAAGTTTTCCCTGTGAGTTTCCAAGACAAACTTACGGGAGCAGAAGGCTTTGCCTTTATCCTGAAAAGTGGTTTCAAACTGCTAACCGTGTAGTTACAATGAATAACTGCACCACCAGGGCTCTGTTTTTGTGCTTAATTTTAGAATTGTGAAGTTACTGAGGTTGTCCAGTACCACCGAGTCATTAACTGCAATTTTATTTCTTTACAGGGATTTGGTGCCGAAAGAAAGATCCGTCAAGCTGGTGTCATTGACTAATCACATCCACAAAGCACATCATTAATCCACTATGATCAAGTTGGGGGTGGTTTTGGTGAAGGGTTCTGAATATCTCCCTCTTCATCCCTCCCAAAATCTGGAATACTTATTCTAATGAGCTATTACACCAGTTTTAACACCTTCCTCGTGTTATGTTTAAAAATAAATAAATTTAAGAAAACCATTTTAAAATTATGCACAGTTGCAGCCTGGAGAACTTAAGGTGGCGCCTTATAGTATCAATTTTAGGAGCTTTATTTGGTGCATTTAACACAACTGGTAATTGCAAAATCCACTTCGCCTGTGTTGTAAGTGATAACTATAGACTGTTACCTTGTTGGCCCTATGAAATTCTGCACTTGATATTTCGTGTCTACTCTTCCTTCATACTTCTGGCAAGATGTTCTTTCTGCCTTAGCACGCAGTTGCAATTCTTTTTTTCTTTCCTGTTCATTATGCTTTAATTCTGAGGACCAGATGAGGGTAGACTATATTACCTTTTAAAAATTACAAAAATTTATAATAGACAAACCATTTTCTTACGTTGATGGCCAAATGTTAAGATGTTATTTTTCATATCATTTGTAATCTTGTCACAGTCCACTTAACGAAGTTTGGTTAGATATCTGTGAAATTATCTTCCAGAGTAGTTTTTTTTTTCCCCTAGGATGGGGGCGGGGGGAGGGGTAACTTTACTACAATTAGTATGTATGGTGCAGAATTTCATGCAAATGAGGTGTGCCAGCAGTGTGATAATTTAAACGTATTTAAACAAAAACAACAAAGGATGAATGCACAAATTTGCTGCTGCTTAGACCACTGCAGCTTCTAGGACCCAATTTCTTTTATTGATTTAAAAACAAAACAAAAAAATAAAAAAAGTTGTGCCTGAAATGAATCCTGTTTTTTTTATTAACCAGTAGCCACCTGGTCTGGTTCCCGTGTCATGTAAAATAACAGGCGCTGGAGCCCTGTTGTAGCTTCTGTTCGGCCTATCACGGGAATGAAGTTGGTCTGATTTCATGACCCTCAGCATACAGGGTCTCATAAAGCTTTGTCTAAGGTGACAAGGGTCCGCTCAGGGGGTGTGGGGGAGGGTGCTTTATCTTCCCCATTGTCGTTTGAGGTTTTGATCTCTGGGTAAAGAGGCCATTTATCTTTGTAAACACATTTTTGCTTTCTCCAATTTACTGTTAATGGCAAACGAATGGAAGCGAATAAAGTTTTACTGATTTTTGAGACGACTAACACCCAGCGCTTTCATTATCGAAGCGTCCTGTGTGGGAGGGCTGCTGCTGGGTGGGGCCGGCCGCGTGACTCGCGGGGCTGCGGCCCACGTGGCCGGGGCGGGGCCTCGGGCGCCCGGGGCGCCGACGGATTGCGTAGCGGGCGCGGCCGGAAGTACCGCTCCCTAGTGGGGGCTGTTCATGGCGGTTCCGGGGTCTCCAACGAGTTTCCCGCTTGTGTTCCCGAAACCGTCCGGCGCGGAGGCAGCAGAGCTTGAGGTGAGGGTTAGGCGTGTGCGGCTTCCAGCTCTCGAGCGTGGAGGCGCCCGGCTGCGGCCAGGCGCCGCGTGAAGTCGGGGAGCGGAGACAAAGGCGCGGGGCGGGGGTCCGAGGAGAGTCCTCGGCAGAGACGGGCGGTGTGGGTCGTTTGTAGGAAGCAGCAGCCTGGAAGCCGCCCCCAAGAGTTAGGAAGAGTTGCGGGGGGAGCGGGAAGGAAGGGGTTCCTTCCCCTTACCTTAAACTGAGGGCGGGGCCCCAGGATTGTTGAAAAATAAACGAGAGGGGGTTAGCGAGAGGACTAGAAGCCAAAATTATGAGGCCCAGATCAAGCTGCAAGTGTTTTTGCTCCCGGACTCACTTTTAAGAGCCTAGAGGAGGGTCGGGTGCATGGAACCGGATACATGTTGAACTCTGGTTTCAGTAGCTATTGATTTATAAAGAGCTTTGAAGTACGGTAGGTGGAGCTCGCCAGTTAACCCTAATTGCTGCTTTTTCACAGGTCTTTGCTGGTGTGAAATGACTGAGTACAAACTGGTGGTGGTTGGAGCAGGTGGTGTTGGGAAAAGTGCTCTGACAATCCAGCTAATCCAGAACCACTTTGTAGACGAGTATGACCCCACGATAGAGGTGAGGTCCACTGGTGATCTGTTGCGCCTAGGTCGTTTTCAGCATAATGACAGGCGAGAAAATAAAGCTATTCTGTGTACTCATTCTGCAGTGCAATAGGTAAAGCTTGCCATGTTGACAGTTTATTTTTGTTGTCTGCTGAAAATTTTCTCAAATGCTTACAATTTTTAACAACTCTGGAAAAGTGTTGCAAATTCAGTGTTGAATACAGTCCATTTTTCATGTATGACAGTAGTAACAAAAACAGAGACCTAGGTAGGAACGGTCTTCCTGATTGCATTGCAGAAGAGGGAGGAGTCAGTGATCCGGCTGGCTCCAGCAGCTGGGAGTGTGAGTTGGGAGTAGAAAGCATGAGATTTTGAGTCACTACGTAGGACTCAGGTCCTTGTTTGCCGCTTAGGTGAATTAGCCCATCACTTAACCCTTCGGAGTCTCATTTTACTTACGTATTCAGTTATATACATTTATCCTGCCTACTACACAGGGATGTTGTGAAAAGTCAAATAAGGTAATTAACATGCTTAAATTATATGTGAATGGTAACACTTGCCGTCAAGTCAATTCAGACTCAAGTATTTATTTGAAGGATTCCATTGTTGTCTCTGGAGTTCATCCTATAGAAAGTGACTTCTAAAATTTTTAAATAAAAGATTTTATTTTATTTCATTTAAAAGGGGTTAGTTCTAGGTGTTGCTTTGCATATTTATTTGCATGTTTTACTTATCGATTTAGTGCATTATTAATAGCGTGGCTTCTCAAAATTTAATTAGTGCAAAGTAACTCTAACAAGAAACAAACAAAAACAACCTTTGGCCATTGAGTCAATTCTTAGTCCTAGCAGCCTCTTGAGACGAGTAAATTGTTCCATTGGGTTTCCAAGGCTGTGCATTTTTACAGAAGCAGACTGCCGCAACAGTCTCTTGTGAAGTTACAAATGGTGGGTTCAAACCGCCTTCCCTTCAGTTGGCCACTGAGCACTTAAACCACTGTGCTACCAGGGTAGGTACGACTCAGCCATTAATAAAAATTAGTTGAAAGCCTTCATCTAATCTTTATTTCAGGTTTAACAGCTGTAGTAGAGTTAGAACCTTTGATTTTATTATACACTTTAAGTTACATACAGTAAAATATGTCTATGTCTACTGCTTAGTAACTACATTTCTGTATGCCCTTGTAATCAACACCCCGATCAGAATATTGAGTATTTCCATTGTCCCACAGAGTTCTCCCATGCCCTTTTCCAGTTAGTAACTTCCTCCTTCCCACTAGGAAAAAACTACTTGCTTTGTTTTTGCCTAGACTCAACCTTTTAAATTACACTTTAGCTTATTTCCTCAGAACATTTAACCATTATTTATTCATCAATAAAGTTTTGATAAAGTGAATTCTGTGTTACTTTGAAAGAATAATAGCAATATTACAGCCACATCATGAAGTGAGTTACAGAACAATGATCAATGGGCCAAGAAACTAGGTCACAGTCTGGTTTGGGGTCCGGACCTTGCCCCACTTGTGATTTTATTTTCTTTGCAGCAGATTACCAAAATGTAGGTAGCCAAAGTTCATTGGAAGGGGATTTTATTTTGCATGTCTCTTTCTTAAAGAATTAACCTTTGTTTGGAACCTTCTAGAAATTTTTTGATTTTGAAATATTTTCCCCAGGTATAATCTGGCATGATGAGGAGGAAATTGGTATTGAAACTGGAAACAAAGAGTATTTGTGTATTTAGTCTTAAGCATAAATGGCACTATAACCAGTACCAGATTATCACTGAAAGCCTCATTACGATTTGTAAAGAAGAATAAATAGTTTGAATAGTAACAATCCAGATTATAATTTTATGAAATGAATTTAATATCTAGTATCCTGAGAGCAGTGATCCCTCTTTTGAATAACCCTGGTTTTTATTCATCTTTCCCAGCTACAGAATGACTATTTCCCTTTTTGCAGACACACAGGATTTGGAACTTTTTCCCCTGAAGTGACATTAAGTGTTTATATTTGTGATTAAATAATAGCGGTTAGAGGGGCAAAGCAGGTGGACTTGCGTATCAATTTATTTAACCTGGTCAATGACATTGCTTTCCCTGAGGTTTTTAAATGAAAATGGAATGTCCCTCTCTCCCCATCTCCTTCACAACCCTAGGATTCATACCGAAAGCAGGTGGTTATAGACGGTGAAACCTGTCTGTTGGACATACTGGACACAGCGGGACAAGAGGAGTACAGTGCCATGAGAGACCAGTACATGAGGACAGGCGAAGGCTTTCTCTGTGTGTTTGCCATCAATAATAGCAAATCATTTGCAGATATTAACCTCTACAGGTACCAGGAACATTGTTTTTGGGGTTTTTTTTTCTGCAATAATGATCTTTAAGTGTGTTTGGAAGCTTTTGGGGAAATGAGAGTGCCACTTTGGGAAAGATAAAGCTTTGCTAGGTTGCTTGACCTTCGGAATGAGGTTACTATTGAAAGTTCGTACTGGAATTTATTTTATGTGATAGGCTGCTGCTAGCATATGTGTGGTAGTGTATAAGTGGAAGTTCCTAGTGGGAAGGAGTCAGAATTAGAGGTAAGGAGAGTTCATGAAGGAATTTTTATCTCTGAGAAAGGTGTTCTGTAAGTAATAGAAAAGATAAGCCAAAGGAGAGTGGATATAAATGAAAACAAGACAACGGAGCAGAATCTTGATAGTTTGACATAGAGCCATCACGTGTCAAAGCTAGATTGGGCCCCCAAAACTAGTACACATTTGTATTCTACAGAATAGAAACTAGAGTTCGAAAAGCGCTTTATTAGGTTTTCCAGGTTGTAATTGTTCTTAGTAACAGAGCCAGGGACCGCTGTTTCATAGCTCAAAGCATTCAGCACATGACTTTTGCCAGGGTTGAAATTTGGCTCCAGTCAGGGTGCGATGTAGCAATGATGAAAAATACAACTTTACTCTAGTTCCTACATGCTTCCTCCCCGCCCCCACTATCATGATACGAATTCTACCTTGCTAGTCTGGCTACACCAGAGGATGTACACTGGTACAGATAGGAACTGGAAATACAGGGAATCCAGGGTGGATGACCCCTTCAGGACCAGTGGTGTGAGTGGCGATACCGGGAGGGTAGAGGGAGAGTGGGTTGGAAAGAGGGAACTGATTACAAGGATCTATATGTGACCTCCCTGGGGGACGGACA